GAATGTTTTACTGCCGATCTATGGTATGACTCAACAAACTGCACGAATGTTTTACTGCCGATCTATGGTATGACTCAACAAACTGCACGAATGTTTTACTGCCGATCAAAATAAAACTTCACTCCCTCCACTACATGCATTTTGTGTGATATGTTATTTGTAACAAAGTAGTCTCTGTAGGTTGTAAGTCCAGTGTTTGTGATCCCCAATAGTTTTCTCTTTACTGCGGTATGCAATACAAATTTAGATTGTGAGAGTATGATGGCCAAAGGGATACCAAAGTGTCGCCATCATGAACATGGATTTTGGTGATTTTCTGATTTTGAAAAATATGGCAGCAGTTGCCAAGGTGAATTTCCTGCCATGAAAACAGTGCCTAATGAACAGAGTACGAGTTGCAGCCTCAATTTTCACTTCTTTAAAATATTTATCACAATATCTATAACAGCATTGAAATACATAAGCAGCAATAAATAAAGATATATCACAAAAAAATAAAAGTATTTCTTCTGCAACACAATACTTTTTATCAAATTTGATCTTATTAATCAAAATATTGAATGTCACATAAAACTCACCTATTCTACTTTGCATGTGATATTGCATTCTATTGTAGATTAAAAAACTATATTCTCTAGTTTGTTTGTTTTTAGTTGAATTATACATAAAGCTACTCAAGGATTATCTGCCCTAATTTTGATTTATTTGTTTAGTCGTTGTTTAAAGCTACACAATGGGCTGTTTATGCACCAACCACAGATATTGAAAACCAGTTTTTAGCATTATAAGCCTTCAGATTTACTGCTGAACCTTTAGGGGCCTCTAATTTTGAAGTGACAGACTAGAGGGAAAGCAACTAGTCACCCCTCCCCCTCCCCCCCCCCCACTACCAGTTCTTGAACTACTATTTACCAACAGACAGTGAGAATGACTATCACATTATAATGTCCCCATTGCTGAAAGGACAACCATTTTCAGTGCATGATTTCAATCCTGTGACCTGCATTCTGGGAGTTGAGCACCCTAACCACCAGGTTGTGCCAGGTCCTATATTGTTTTAAAACTGTTATTACAATAATCTACATAAATATAATAGTACTGTCTGTTGTCTGTCCATGTAACTACTTTGCAGGGTGTGGATGGTTCTTCACCAAAATTGGTATGGAGGTTCATTGGGTCCATGGGGAGAGATGCATACAAAATTTCAGTTTTGTATTTTGTGTTGAGCGGTTTTTATCACTACTTTGCCCCCTGTTGATGGATCTTCCCTAAATTTGGTATGAAGGTTCATTGGGTCCTTCGGGAGATACATGCAAACGTGTGGTTTCACATTTTGCATTTTGCAGTTTTTATGGGCATTTTTGTATTTTTTACAATTACACATAAGGGAAGCAACTTTTCATGTTCTAAGATAACCTTTTATTAATCATGAAGTTCCATAACTTCCATCTAAGAGACGGGTACTCCAGCAAGTAATAAATAAAATAAAGTTTGGAAATGTTTTTGTAAACATATTTTGTTGTTACTTAGTGATTTTAGGATATCATTACTTTTTTCAAAACTTCTCATATTAAAATGGTATTTACTATTTTGTTTAACTTTTCCTTGGGTAAGCTTCTGCAAGGCAACAATCACTAATTGCAAATGACAGAAAACTGGAACAAAACAATCAATATTTTACATTTTGTACCATTAATTTGTCTATAAGAATATCTTGTCAATTTGAAAAATATTTTAAAAGTAAAATGTATTTGATAGCATTTATTGTATAAAATGGAAAACATTCGTATCAGTCTCTGTATTATTTATAAACTAGGGACAAACTTACCTTTCCATCAAATCCTGCAGTAGCAAACAGCTCTCCATTTGGAGAATATCTGACACTCTGGACAAACCGGGTGTGGTCCTACACATAAAGAACTACAAATGAGCATTTAAAATGTAAGTTAAATAAAATTAGGAGCAGGATAATAACAATGACATAGTGCACAACAACAGAGAACAAACTCTTTCTTTGAGATATAAATAATAACTGTAAACCAGATTAAGTGCACTCAGTTAACTGAAATAACATCCAACGATATTATCATCAAATCATAAGTAATACATTTGTTATATTGAGCAAACATTTGTTACTAGAGCACAGTAAAAATGGAAACAAACATAAGTTTAACTCCAGGTCTGTTGTTCAATAGAGCAGAATGTTCTAAAGTCCAGAATACAAAAATTCACAAGAAAGATAACAAGATTCAATTTACATACTTATGCCCGTTAGATTTCAAATTCCAAGTGTCACTCAATATTCATGGTTAACAGTGGAGAAAACTATAATATGGTGGTGGTAGAGGGTTTGCTGAGGCTGAAGCTACCTAAAAATAATCCTTAGCATACCCTGTAGCTCCAACACCCAATGTGAGATGCTAACTCTTAAAATTGGTTCACTTCCTAAGAACCATAGTACTTGTGTCCCTAAGAAGTAAGGTGCAATCCTCTTAGTGGGGGAAGACTGGCACCACCCCCTGAGCTACAGCTCTATGAAACTAAGAAGTTTGTGTTGCACATTTGAAAGAAAGAATGATATTTAATTCCAAATCAAACTTAATCCACAAGAAGTGTATACATGATTACTGCACACACAGTTCTTTCTTCTCCATTTTCAAGATGTATTGATCTATATTTAAAAATACAATCACAATTCTGATACAGACATAAAGTAAGAGCATTGTTTTCATTAAAAGTAAATTTTTATTTCCAGCTGTACTGAAAAAAATTTTTTTTAAATCACAAAATCAATTATCTATTTATGCCTTTCCCTCTCAGCCACGTACTGGTTGATAAACTCATTGAAATGTGTTTGTCTACCTGTAATTTAAGCAAAAAAAATAACAAATAAATTTACACTGCAAATAAATTTTAGTGTTAAAATGGTTGCAACATTTATTGGAGTTATCAAAAAATAGTAGGAAACTAATTAGCAGAGACAAGGTAAGAACACATCTCATTTATAGCCATGTCCAAGAAAGGTAACATTTTGTAGAAACCAAACGGACCTTCAGAGACTTGGACTTAACCATCAATAGTAGATTAGTTTTATTTATTTTACTTGGATAACTGATAACAGTTAGAAGCAAACAATTTTCTATGTCTTAATTAAGTACATTTTTAAATATATAATGCAAAGTTCCAGGTTTTGTTTATCACAAAATTGCATAAAAATAGGTTTAGGTTTGTTTGTTTGTAATTAAGCACAAAGCTACACAATGGGCATCAAAACCCAGTTCCTAGCATTGTGAGTCCACAGACATACTGCTGTGCCACTGGGGGGCACACATAAAAATATTAGGTCGTCAAGAAAATAATGTCTCGTTTTGGAACAC